GGGGGGGGGGGGGGGACGCCTCGACCCGAAAAATTCCCCCGAGAAATCAATCGTACGGAAAGAAACCGCGACGTGAGACGCAATCCGTCCGAGGGCGTCGTACATATTCGATAAGTCGACTGCCAATGAGTCGGCTTTCTGCATAATAAAGCAGACACCGGTTCATTAATAACAATCGTGACAATCGTGCGACATGCAACCGGCCCAAGTTTTTGAGCGTTCGTAGACGGCGCGAAGGAAAAGAGCTCCATCGAGTTAACGCCCAAAACTCTCCGCCAACGGGATTCACGCCAATGTTTTGTTCGAATATATCCACGTTCGAGACGAGACCGCGGCTAAATCGAGACTGTCTCTCTCGCGTAGTCAAAGCACGAGCGAGTGTGGAGGCATTAGCTTTTAGCGCGGCGTGCTCCTTGGATTTTTGCGCACCCGACACGTGATACGCAAGTTTCGCAGAGGCAAAAGGGAGCCCGGCTCGTCGCGCCGACGGTCTAAGCCAACAACTGAGTCGTCGGTTTTCTTATTGCCACAGACGCAACGATGCTGCCATCTCCGCGGTCGTTAAAGGAGGATCAAGTTTAGATCGGAATTAGAACTAATTGACAGACAGGAACGACCATGTCGAGAGCGGCGGCATGACGCGCGCGCGCCGTGCGATCGATTTCGATAAGTTGATAAAACGAAAAAGGGGACAACCCTGCTAATCGAGATGTGCCAAGTGAATTGCGCGGTGAAAATGGAAGGATCACTCGTCAAATATACATACTGAACGTTGATGGAACCCTAACATTTACCGGGCCAAAAGTCATTAGTCTTTCTAATCGTCCGCATTGTGTTTGGATATGCGTGCACACATTGTGACTTGATTATTCGGTTAATCTGTCATTTTGACAGCCTGACGTATCGTATCGGGCCGCACAATATTATGTCTAAACACAATGGGAACGATTAAAAAGATTTTTGGGCGATTCGATTTTACATTTTTTTTTCTAAATTTCTTGCCATTGGAAAAGCTTCAAAATTGACCGAGACATTTGACGTATGTCTATGAGTGTTGATTTTTAGGTTTGTGCGTAAAACATTATTTCTAATACATAATTGGTTTATTTATTGCTTCATATTTATTGCTTCAGTTTTCTAATATTGCTATTTTTGCAGGAATTTTTCTCATTCACAGTAAAACAAATTTGGTGTTATAAAATTTATCGAGATTTTTGTATTACTTTAACATGCGGAATAACCCACTAATGGCAAGGTGTATTTTCAGAACATCAAGGTGTTTTTCAAAGTATATTCTTACAATTATTTAAAATTAATTAGTAAACTTATTTAGTTATTTATTTCGTTAGTTAAGAAAATTATTTAGAAAACTATTGTATTTTTTCATCTATAAATAAACAGAGGGAACAGTTTCATGTTAATACTTATTTCGTTTACTCATTTTGTACATTAATTAAATGACAAATTAATAAAACAGAGCATGGAGTCGGATCCGACCCCAATCTTACCATTGGATAGTTAAATTAATATATTCACCTTGTTAACATAGTATTTTTCAACATATTCATCTTGTTAAAATTATATAAAAATTTGGGTGAACCGTTTATAACATAAAACTTTTTACTGCGCTTGACCCAATTCTCCGATATTATTTTTATTATAGAATATAATTGCGCGAATATAAATTCATGTGAGGGAAGAGCACGTGAATTTGATGTCTGTTTTTACTTTTTTGGAAAAAGATAATTTCGTAAGCACCATACGATATCCAGACACAATGAGAACGATTGAAAGGACCAAGCGATTTTATATAAATCGTCCCAATTAATATACTAATTTAACCCAGCAAATGCAGTAAATACGGTAAACGTTAAGGCATTATTGAAACTCAGTGCACAATGCGATTTCGTCTCATGTGCGTTTACTTGTGAAACAGTCCGCTTTCAGCTTTTGTCACGAGTCTGTTCCCGCTTCGCTTCGCTTTTTACTAGCGCGCGCGCGCGATAATCGCGAAATTATCGAACGCAGCAGCCTTGTCCTCGCGATTGGGAAATGCGAGCGCTGCTACAGCGTTGCCGTGGGGAGAAAAAAGGGTAATGTATCGGGTTACATTAACGTATCGTAAACGTTTCCGGCGCAAATGAGGTGTTCTCGACGTTGGGAAGCTCTCCCTCTCTCTCTCCATCTCTCGACCTCTCTCGCTCTTCGTGCTCGGCTGATGTACGAGAATGCTGAACTATTCCGCCATTTCGATAGGTTGTTGGCAGAAATCCGAGCGGGTCTCATCATTAAGTAAGAATCCATTACCGCGTTAGTGGCACGTCAATAACGGGAGACGGCAGAGGCCGCGCTAAATTATTCCTACAACATCAAGGTGAACGAACACGGTGAGTCCTTTCCGCGCGCCCTGCCGTCGCATTATTAAAAAGGACGTTACACAGCCAATTCAGGGGTGTAATTATTCGCGTGAGGATGCGCGACTCCTTACTCCTCTCCATCTCGCTTTTTTTTCCCGCTCTCGAAACCGCTCCTCGTCCTCTGCTCTCGTTCGTGGCGGGATGAGATATCGTCGAGAGAGAGAGAGAGAGAGAGAGAGAGAGAGAGATTATATCGATTTCGAATCCTATTTCGGCCCTCATCCTCTATTCTCAGCCATCGCGGCCGGCGGTCGTGCGCGTTTCGGAGTACCCACTTTCACATATCGCGTAACATCGCACAGTATCATCTGACGAATCAACGATGCCGGTACACGCAATTTGTCCGC